ACCTTTCAGGTTGGGAGTTTCATTCCCCTGTCTCTCTTTACTGCACTGCTGAAAAAACCAATACGACCAGACAGCTGGATTCCTTTCCATGACAGACTTCTGGTTCCAGGCCAGTAGAAACTGAGAGCACAACTGAGGCGTCAAGGCCAAACAACTGAGGCGTCAAGGCCAAGGCTGCTCTTTGGCAGATCCCTGACGGCTCCTCAGTGGAAACTGGCTCTTCACAGCCTGACGGGATAATTAGCAGAAAAATATTGTACTTCTCTCTCTGCTAGTAAGTTAGAAACTATCCCTATATTTCTCCAACTTGTTGGGAGTAAACTTTAGAACCACCTTGTCGTTAGACTGCCCCTCCCTCCCGATCAGCTTGCAACAGCTATTTCCTTCAAGGAGGAAAACAGCTACCAGGGAGTGATTTACATTCATGCCTTCCGTATGCTAACTAAGAGTAAGAAGGAGATTTTAGTCAGCCTTTTTTCTTTCATGTGCATGAAGAAGACTAATAAATGTGCCTTTGCTAAATGTAAGTTGTGATATGAGGCGATAGATATCAGTTTAACCTGTGAGCTTCAGAGATATAAAAATTTGAAAAATGGATTTAAAAGTCACGGCCTTATCTTGCTGCTAGAAAGGGTTGCCAAGGTGACTAGATAGATCATAAGAATGTCTTAGATTGCCTGGCAAGCGCAAGGGCCTGAGTTCAGTCCCCGGTTCCGTAAATAAATAAATAAAATAAAATAACATACGTGTTTGAGGGTGGGTAGGCTGGTCAAATTTTATCTTCTGGTCTCTCCAGACTGTGTCCTGTTAGGGGGTACTGGGAGCCAAATTCAGGACCTCATGTTCTTACGCACTGGTGGAGGTTTGACACTTACATTCAAAACCCAGTTTACCCTCTAGAGCTAAGATGGTATCAAAGGGAAGTATTGATTGGGATGCTGTTTCACAACCAGCACTGTACTGTAAGAAAGAGGAAAAATGGTCACAATTGCCTTATGTTCAGACTTTCTTTGCACTAAAGGAATAATTCTCACTTGTGCTCAAATGTAAATGTGGGCTACAGGAAAACTAGCTTTAAACTGTCTCATTAAAACAAGCCTTGTTTTAATTTAGTCTTTTTGTTTGTTTTGTTTTTATTTTACTTTATTTATTAATTTTAATGAGAAAGAAATAGCAATGAGACAGTTTCAAAATAGGTCAGTAGGACAGTTACAATAATTAATACATTGCTATTGCTGTCTTTGTAGTGGTTATTCAGAGGACACGATGCAGACATGATATCTTCTCTAAGCACTATTAGTACAAACCTTTCTTCTCATTAAACTAAGAGAAAGTAGCTGTATATCATCCTATTTTGTATATACAGATGTTTTAGTCTTAAACACTCACTAGAAAAGCAAAACCAAAGGATGTATGAAAACAACATCATGATGGTAAGCTATATATAAAGGGTCATCAACCACTGACCCCTTCTGGCAGTTTCCAGCTATGCCACTAGCCGAGCACTGTAATACGTCATTAAGAAAAATCTATAAAAGCTCAGTAAGAATCTTTAAATTCTTTAGCCAAAATTGTCCTTCAAAACCACGAAAATCTCTGTCTTACAGCTAAAACTGGAAAAAGACTTATGACAAAATAACAGGCTATCTGTGTCACTCGATGGGCGTAAAAGCCCACAAGTGATCGTCCGATTCCAATCTGGAAAGAACAGTTTCTAGACTTGGGTTTTTCCCTAACCTTCGCATTCTTGTGCTCATGCTTTGATTATACATATTCCACTTTCTTGAAAATTTTGTTTGTTCTTGCTTAGAGGCTGCCAAACTCCATGCAGATGGGACCAACTCCTTTTACTGAGACCCACCTTATCAACCTTGTAAAGAAAGTTTATAACTGCTAAGGGGCCAGGAGATGGCTCAGCGGAATAAGCACTTCCCTGGTAAGCACAAGGGCCTGAGTTCAATCCCTAGTTCTGCAAAAAAAAAAAAAAAAAAAAAAAAAAAAAAAAAAAAAAAAAGAAAAAAAGAAAGAAAGAAAGTTTATCTGAGGCTCATTAGATTAGCTCTCTGGAGAAGGTCCCTGACTGTAATCACCTCTACATCAACCCTTCTCAACTTGAAGCAACTAGATGAAAACTATGGAGCCAAGCATGGTAGTGCATACTTTTAATCCCAGCACTTGGTAGGTTGAGGCAGGAGGACTACTGAGAGTTCAAGGCCAGCCTGAGCTATAAAGCAAGCTCAAGGCCAGCCTGAATTGCATAGCAAGACCCTGTCTCAAGAAAAAAAGGAAGGAAGATAAATAAAGCAATAAAGCTACATCTATTCTCCTCTGACCACAGTTAGGGATATTTATTCAGAGGGGAAAATATTGTAGATAGCTAAATTACTGAGAAGTATTGTAGACAGTTTAGAAGACAACTGTGGCTGGAAGTACATTCGCTGAAAGCCAGGCCTCAAGAAAACAGGAACAACTATACCCACGAACTTCCCTTAGGGGTGGACAGCACTGACCAATAGTCTAAGTAGGCATTAGCTTGGGGTGGAGGACTTGTAGTAGTTGACACATGTGTCAACTTGGGAAGGTGAAGGCTTGGCTGGATCAGCTCAGTGATTCCACGCCCAGGGATGTGGGGCCCCTCCCTGGGGTGTGGAGGGCCCACCCTGGAATGACTCAGCATTTAGAGGATATATATATATATATATATTTGTTCCACTTCCTCAGAGGAAGCTTTCTTTGCAGGCAGCTTGGACATCATCTCCTGGCTTCCAGTGCAGACTCTTCAGCTTTTGCCTTGGATCCTTCAGCTTTCTATCACAAACTCACCAGCTTTCTGTTGCGGACTCCTCAGCCTTCTATCCCTTCCATCGCAGATCTGTTGGCCTCCTGATACAGACTTGCACAGAGTACCACAGTGAGTTCCAGACCTTGGATTGATTCCTTCAGTCTCTGATATGCAGACACCCTCTGCATGCTCCTCATCCAACTTTGTGGCTGACTGTTGTAATCCAATCTTGTAATTTTTTATACATTTGTACATTTTATGCTATGTATGTTCCTTGTACTATATCTCTTCCTCTAGTAAAACCCTGACTGATACAAGGACCAAACCTCCTTGACCCACCCCCTGCCAGGAAAAAATCCTTGTCCATTCATGTGAACTTGCTCCCTGTTTTGCTTCTCAATTTGATCCCCATTTAATCAGCATTGCCTAGGTGGCTACACTTGTAATGTTGGTTCACCATAGTTTTGTCCCACCTTGTGTCTTCCCATTGGATCAAGTTTACCTGAGCTACTATACTTGCAATCATTTTTAAAAAAATGTATCTGTTGTTATGGGGTCCTACTACATAGCTCAGACTCATAACGATCCTCATGTTTTGAGCTTCCTCAGAGCTGAGATTACAGGTGTGTGCCACCATGCCCAGATTCTGTGGCCAGCTCAGCACACCCTGACATGTTGTGCCTGGGATCTAACTGTGGTCCCTGTACTTGTCTAAGCTTGCCTAAGCAGGTACTTTAGTCTGCTGAACTATCTCACTGGCCCCTATACTTGTGATCTTATTGATTGGTTATAGTTCTGTCCCACCTTGAGCCCACCTCGCCTCATGGCTTTACTCCATAAAACACCCCTAAGAAGTGGGGTCAGCAGTCAACCCACTTTCTGGACCCCCTTCTCTCTCTCTCAGAAGCTTTTCTTCCTTTCATTAAATCCTTCCTTAACTTCTGTGCTTTGAATTCATTCCTCAGTGTTTCTGATGTCCAGCAGGTTGGAAGTTTCTTGCCCTATATCAATTCCTGCCCACTGTCCACCTCCCACTCTTGATGCCCCCCCAAAAAACACTGTGTCTTTCATGAAGTCAGTGGATTAAAGGAATAGTCTGTGTCCTGAGGTGTCCACATTGCTGATGGCCCTGACTGTGTCCATTCTTTCAAACCAGCCACTACCGCTAGAATCAAAGACGTTCACAGTGTTTTTCATTATGGCAAGCAAAAAGAACTACTCAAAAGTACTCCCCAGGGTAGGGGAGCAGTGACATGCAGACGGCACCATCACTAGCACAACACCAAATCACTAAAGAGGAGGCAAAGCTTCTGTTGTGCCCCTTGAAGAGAGCAGACAGAAGTACGCACAGATTTAGCCAGATGGGGTGGTGCACGCCTGTACTACTAGCAACCCGGGAGGCTGAGGCAGGAGGATTACGAGTATGAACCCAGCCTGGACAATTTAGCAATGTAGTGAGAATCTGTCTAAAAAAAAAAGCTGGGTCTTTGTGCAAAGGTCCTGGGTTGACTCCTCATTACTGCAAAGCAACAATAAAACCAAAGCACTCAGATTGTTTTCACCCAGGGCAAACATTCAGAGAGATTGCATTTGGGCTGAGAATTCCTTTCTTGTCATTGCTGCTGCTGTTTATTTCTGTCTATAAAAACCAACGAGCTGGGCATGGTGGTGCACACCTGAAATCCCAGCCAGCCTGGGCTACATAAGCAAGTTCAAGGCCAACCTGTACTACATAATGAGACCCTGTCTCCAAAAACCAACTCAGTGAGACCCTAAAGAGAATCAATGAGCTACTATGATTTTCTTTTAAATTTATTTGGTTGTTACAGGGTCTTATTACGCAGCCTCCCCAGAGCTGGGATTACAGGCGTGTGCTACCATGCCCAGACTCTTGGCTAGCTCAGCCCACCCTGGGGGTAGGGTTGGAATGGCATGTGGTACTAGAGATCGACCGTGTCCCTGAGCTTGCCTAAGCTTGCCTAAGCAGGCGCTTCCGTCTGCTGAGCTATCTCGCTGGCCTCAGCTGCTATTACTTTCATGACCACAGACATATTTTTTGAGCTGGCCTCTTAGGTCATGCTTTTCCCTGGGTATTTATGCCTCATGGCCAACGGCTCCAGAGACCCTGGGGCCCAGACATCACCGTTCATCTCTGCTCCTGCCCGGGAGTGAGCCTGTTGCTCACACTCTTGCAATCCACCACACAGCTCTAACTCACCTGATACATATGAAACATGTTCTTCAAATACTTATATTCCTTCTGCATCTCCTCTGGAGAAAAGGAAAGTGACAGCAGGGTCATCATCATTCCTCTGACAGGCACATTTTCAAATTTAAATCCCCCCAACTTCCCCCAAGCCAGTGGTGGTGAAGCTATGGTGCGTGTACCAAGCTGGCTGGCTGTACTTCGCCCTCACTGCCCAGGCTGTGAGACCTCTGAGTGCCCCAGAGAGCACCCTGGAAACTTATCAGAACTCAAATGCTGCCAGACACGGCAGTCTGCGCTATAATCCCAGGGCCTTGGAACACTCAGGCAGAAGCACACTTTCAGAGCCAGCCTGAGCTACACAGCAAGACCTTGTATCAAAAAAAACAAAAACAACCAAACCCCCAAAGCAAAAACTAAAACAAACTCACAAACCACCCCAAAATACCCAAATGTCTGGGCCCCACCCCAAACCTCCACACCTCCTGGAGTAAACATTATCTAGCAGCACCAACCCTTGGGCACTGACTTCTCTTTTTAATATCATTTCCTGGTTTACATCGTGAGAACAACACATGTTCTCTTTAGGAAACGGAAACTTAGCAAAGTATAACCAAATTGTAATTGTATTATATTTGTAGGAATTTAAAATATACTTCAGAAGTCTTTTCGAAATCTACACACACACACACACACACACACACACACACACACGTCTGGAGGACGGGAGGCCAGGTTGGTCCTCTTCCGTCTCATCCTCTATTTCTGCCCCCAGCCACAGCTCCAGGAGGAAACCAGCTGCCCCCACCCCCAGCCACAGAGCTCCCTGGGCCCCCCCCCACCCCAGGTTCTTGCCCCTTCACCAGCCCCCCACTCCCAGCAGTACCTAGCTTCCCTTGGGCTGCTGATTTCTCGGCCTTCAGTGCATCTCTGTAGTAGTTCTCTAACTCGCTGAGCTCCGCCTTGTGAGCCATTCTAAGCTCCCTGTGGGACCCAGAAGCCATCAGTGGAAAGAAGCCCGGAGCTGCTGGTGTCTGGCCTGTCCCCACTCTGACTTCCTGGGACATTCCCCTGGCTTCCCTCCAGATAGGGCAAGAGAACCCTTGTTTTCTACAGCACTGTTTTGAGTGGAGCTGGCAGGGTATGAACTCTCTCCTGGCACAGCCTTTGCTTAGAGCTCTCTAGGGAAACTGAACTGCAGTAGCACCCAGGATAAATTCAGAACCCAGGGTCTTTCCACCTCCATCCTAGGAGGCTGATGTTACAAGGTTTAAGAGGAGTGTTAAAGTGAACATCTACCTGAGCTGTCAAGCCATGGAAAAGATAGAATGAAGTTAGTGCCAATTTCTAAGTGAAAAGAGCCAGTCTGCAAAGTCCTGGGTGATCCAGCCACAAGATGACCCAGAGAGGGCACACAGGAGACAGCAGCAGGTCAGCTGTTGCCAGCAGGTGCAGGGTGAGTAGCAGAGCACGGTGGATGGGGCCATGACAGTGGGTCCATGAGTTCACACATTAACAACCCCAGAGAACGTTCAGTGCCAAAACTGAACCTTAAACTAAGGGTGATATGTGATACTGACGCGTCGGCCTAAGTCTGTTAAGTGTGACGATGTGCCCTTCTGGTGGGCAAGGGGGATCCTGGACGGCTGTGAGGGCACGGGGGATCCTGGACGGCTGTGAGGGTGCGGGAGATACGCTGGGAGTTTCCATATTTTCCTATCAGTTTTGTTGAGAAATTTGAAACTCCTGTAAACAATAAAGTCTAGGAATACAACATGGCTGATACAGGAAGTGGCTCCCAGCAGGCCTGGAAAACATACACCAGAAGAGCAGGAATTCAGAAATGGGAGGTGAAAAAAGACCCCAACACAGGAAGACAGCCTGAAGGAGAAGCCCACCAGTGGATTCCAGCACCAGGGCTGTTTAGAGAAGGACACTGTACTGCCCCTTCTTTCAGGCATGGCTTCCATCCGGTGACCACGCCTGTTTGGGAAGGGTTCCCTAGCACAGTGAGGGAGTCCACCAAGGGAGCTGTCTGCAGATCAGTGTGCCACAGAAAAAGAAACTCAGAGAACTGCTTGCAGGGCAATGCCTGCGTTAGGACTGGTGGGCCCTCTGGAAAGGAAGAAATAAGGGTGTGGTCTGGCTAGGGGCCAAGGCCTGGCTGGGTCCCGGCTGGGTCCTGGAGTGGGCCCAGGTTCAGAGAGCTGCAGGGATGGCCAAGGGCTGCAACCAGCTGGACTGGGGGAGGAGAAAAGACCTTAACGTAGTGCCAGCCTCTCCTGCTCCCCCAAACACTGGGAAGCTGTGTCCATGTAGCAGAACTGCAGGGCCCATGCGGGAACCCTCTGACTACCAGACAGGAGCTGGCAGCTCTGTGAGCCCAGGTACACTGAGCTCAAGGGCTGGACGGAGTCTAGGGTGAGGGGGAGCTGGACAGAAGGGGCATAGCCAGCGCGGTTACAGGGTGCCCGGACCCAGGACAGAACAGTAAAAGTGGAAAGGAGTGCCTGCAGGGATTACTGTGGGGCTGGGACAGAGAGCAAGAGGGCCCCAGAGAACAGTGGGAGGTGACACTGGACCAGTGCACTGACCACAGACACAGCAGAAGCAGAAAGTCTCCTGTGAGCCTCGTGCACAGGAGCTCAGGTGACCCCATGCAGCGAAGCCCGGAGAGGGGACAAGGAGCTCACCCAATGCCTGGACTCACCACATACCCAGGACAAAAGTTCTTGGACCATAACTGGCTGCTGGCATCCAACTTCCTCATTTGTGAAGAAAAGAAGAAAGTGTACACCAGCCCAATTCTGACTGCAGCATAAATAGAACCAAGAGGACAATACTTTTGTGTTTTGTATGTATGTGGTTGTTTTTTTTCTCCCTTTACCTGGTATATGTATGGGAGGTGCTTATAATGTGGGAAGAAGAGTGCAAATGAATTAGTGCTCTAGCACCTTGCACGGCCAACATGTCAGGCTGGCCCTCACCAAAGCCTTCATACAGGGTTTGAGACGCAGCTTCCTGTCAGTGTCTGATTTGGTTCTGAGCTCTCAGCTTCCCTCAGTCTCCAAGGGCACCTCCCTTCTCCCACCTTGCAATGAACCCTTCAAGGCCTTTCCACCAGGCCTCCACTCCACATATAAGATAGTACCAACAGCCACATCTTTGTTTCATTTGTTATTCCTTCTTCCTGAACTACTCTTTTCCTTTCCTTTTGTATTCCCACATGCTTTACATTCCAGGCTACTGGTCATCAGTACTACATCACAATCTTTCTGAATTATTGACAAAAGGATGGAAGTGTTATATACTTGATTGATATGTGATTAGCCAAGGTTTGTCTACTTCTTATGCTGAGTAGTAGGGAAGTCTTATCACAATAAGTACTCTGTTTTACATTGTGGAAGACCTGTACACCTGGAATCATGATAAGACTTCTCACAGATTCAAATCTCTGCCTTTAACAAAAACCTTGTGAAGTATATCCCATTTCAGGATGACTAATTAGGTGAAAGTTTCTTATGTATTAAATAGAGACTGCTGGTTAAGTGTTATGTCAAAATGAAAATTTAAGTATATCACAAAATGTCATCAAGACTGTCTTGCTACAATATTGTATGTGGTTTTGGTTTCTAAGTTTCTGTGTAAAAATATATAATTGTTGTCTTTTACATTTTATAGGGATTTAAATATTAGAATATCCATGGTTGCTAGAAAGTAACAGTTCATGGGCTGGTGAAATAGCTCAGCAGACTAAGCACCTGCTGAGGTAAGTGCAGGGACTGGGGTTCAGTCCTCAGCACCACATGCCATGCTGGCCTCGCCCCCAGGTGCACTGGACCGGCCACTGAGTGCAGGTGTGGTGGCACCCACCTGTAACCCCAGCACTGGGGCAGCTAAGAACAGGTGGATCACTATGAGTCCAAGCTGCATAATGAAAGCCTGTACCAAATACATAAAAGAAAGTTCAATGTAGAAATATAGATTTGAGACAAAAGCCTGATGTCCCAAGAGAGCAGGGAACAATAGACAGAGCCCGAGGAGAGTTGCTGTCTGTTTGCAAATTCCGGGCAACCTGGGACCCAAGGCAGCAGATAACAGCTTCTCCTGCAGGCGCCCTGTCCTTTGATCCCTTGCTTGGGATGTTATCGGCTAGCATTTGTGTGAGCCTAGTGTTAGGCAAATGGTGGAAGTCAATAGAGATAGTAGTTTGTATTCACTTAGGTAATTATGCACATTCCTTAGTCTGCCTTCACCCCTCAATAAATGTGAGATGCTTCTGAGGCTCTGGGCCCACTTGGAGAGAGACTAATCTCAGTGAGACCTCTGAAGCTACATTCATCAGGTCTTCTCGTTGTTTGTTTCCTCACCGACCCGTAACATACAACAGTTCAACTTTATGTCAAAGGTGTTGGATATTCAGATAGACAGTAATATTACGCTTACTTCCTTCATTACAAGGTAATGTCATTAAACTTCTCTTCTGGATGTTTAACAACTGAGGTTGGGATGCCACAAAATCAGAGAGACAGACAAGCTAAGAGGATAGCCAATATTTTGGCCTTAGCTCTTCAAGGTCAGTGAGGACTGAGGACATAAAAGAAACTCTGCTGTGACATTCTGTAACTCAGCTGAGACTCTAATTTTCTGATCAAGGAGATTATGAGGCCACAGAGGAAAGTGATCCATGCTGTATAATGTGCCTAAGAAGAATCATCAAGAGAGAAAAAATCTCTCAGGTTCTCACAGAAAGCAGTGGTCAAGCAATGGCCATGACGGCTGACACTGATAGATCTAAGAGTGCTGTCCATGGCTCCAAGGTAAGCCCTGAAGAGATTAACTGACCTTGTCAGATAGCAAAAGTTAAATTTGTATTTATACAGATTTTGCTTTAACTTGGTCTTTACCATCCAGCAGAAAAATGTACCCACGAGATGTGAAAAGCAGTGCCATATTAATATGCTACGCTATAAAAGGCTCACGTCACTGACAACGTCTGACGGTTACCAGCTGTACTGATAACGTACTACTATTATGGACTATTGGACTATATAGAGTTACACCGCTGAATTCAAGTACCAAAAATCTTTGGACTGGCCTCAAGTATGAAAACATCTTCTAAAGATTTCTCCAAACACAGATTTTCCAACTTCAAAGGAACAACCATCACTCCTACACACAAAAACAAAACAAACAAACAAAAACACCCAAAACAGATGGATATGTTGGAAGCCATAAAAGCTGGAGAATTGGTCAAATACGTGAAAGTGGGACTCAGCCTCAAGTTCCTAACGCAGTCAAGCTACCTCAGTCCCAAGATAAGCATCCTGACCGGTTAATGTCAGCTGTTAGTCACTAGGCAACCTTGTGTCACATGTTACTAACTTTGCAAAGGTATAAATAGCATTCATACAGTTTTTCGGGGGGTCATCTCACCAACCAGGCAGATGGGCCACCACCTAACCCAGCTCTTGTCTTCTTGTTTATCTTTTCTTCATTCCTGCCACCATTTCCACTTGTGTACAATGGATCACATTGAGAAACCAACAGATCCCTACAGACCACATACACTGGGACATTTCCAATTCTGCTCATGCTACCCTCGCTATCCCTGTATTAGCTCAACTCAGGGGTCCCTCATCCTTCCCCTGTCCTCCCCAATATCTAATAGCCCCTAAACACCAATGGGGACTAAAGCCTATAATTCACCTTCCCCTTACCAATGGTTTTCTTACAACTGCCCACTAGCCATATAATACCCCATTCTTCCCGTACTTAAGCGTAATGGCTCCTATCATTTAGGTCAAGATCTCAGGGTTATCAATAATGCAGCTACACCTATTCCCAAACCCCTCACCATGCTGCTCTTGCATATGCCTTCTACCACTACTCACTTCACTGTCGTAGGCCTCAAAGATGCCCTTTCACCATGCCCTTACACCTAGACTGCCAAGACCTCGTTGCTTTCACATGAACTGACCCAG